TTAATTGAAATAAATAGTCATAATAGGGAAAAATTTAAAATACCTGATCTGTAAACATGCTGATATTAGGAATACGCAGTTCAAGAGAACCTGAAGGACGAGCCTCATCATCATCATCAGATGAGTTCATATTTCCATCGTAATCATCGTCGCGATTGCTATTGTTACCACATTTTAATATTTTTGCAGATTTTTCCAGAGTTGGAGATGGTGGACATTCAAGTGGCGAGCATTTACAATCGTAAGTAATCTTAAAGTAAATACTAAAATAATTTTAGTACTTTAGGGTGTGACACCTTTCGCTTTTTGGAGATATTTTCCTCTAGGTTACCTTTGCCGTCTTCTGATTCATCATTTTGAATCGAAGCAAAAGTATCATCATTTAGTTCACTGGGGTGCCGCCCTTCGGCCATTTGATGAACGTACGCAGAAAATGCTATAATGGATAGTCGAATTCAGTTATCCATTTAGTACAGAATAAGGGGTGTCTAAAATGCCTTATTTTGACATTTGTATTTGGTTAAGAAATATAACCCAAGGGGGAAATGCAGAGGGACGAATCACAGCTGATCAATAGTAGGACCGGGTAAGCCAATTTAAGCAAGGTATCACAAATGCTTGATAAACAGTTCAAACAAAAGTAAAAAAAGTAATGTAAATTATTATTTTAAATATATATTGGCTTAGAAAAACAAACAATGACAAAATTAAAGGTCATTTTTGTGGTTAGCATAAATAACTGTTGCATCTGGAAATATCTTTGTCTGATATCAACGTTACTTTCAAGCCCAAAATGATTTTAATCAGTTTAAGCGTTAATAACCTAAAATTTAATATATCAATTATTGTTGCAAGTGAAATAAAGTTTGTATTTTGTCTTAAGTTGAAATATGCTTGCGAACTTTTCATTCGTAAATGGTAATAATAATCTCCGCATCGGCATGCTTATCTTTCGTACGGCATTTGTCATTTATTACTCACAATTTTGCAATAACTATTAGAGAGCTCTCTATAGATACTTTTTGAATGCCTTGGGTGTCATGACCAAGGATTAACTGCAATAAAACCATTGTTTATAGCTAAGGGAATGAAGTAAGTCAAATTAAAAAATACTCATTGATTAAGCGATACCGATAGAGGGGGAGAAGAAGTTATCGAGTAAAATGATTTGTTATATACACTGTAATTTTTAATTAGTGCATTTAAGAATTTTTGTGGTACATGCAGTGTAGCCATTTCTGGCAAATTCTTTTTATCTTCGTCCTTTTATTTAAACTCAAGTTGTCCGAAGAAATTGCTATTTCAGTAAATATGCATGTAATTACTTATAAGTTTGAGATCTTGAGATATTCTTGATTGCTGCTAGCTGAAACGATTCAACTTTAGGTTAATATTAAACTTTATATAGCCTAGTCTTCCATGATTTCTTATCGGCATTTTCAGAGGAATTCTAACTCGCTGTCTGTGTATAAATCGACAACAATTTACCGCACCGCCACATAGTCAAGGGTGAAATATACATCTCCACTATGGTCATTTGCCACTCGCGCCTGTGTGGATGAGTGCCGTTGATATTGCGAGTCTTTTAAAATGCAATCCAGGTTTATTTTGGAAAACCTTTTGCGAAGTAAAACTAAGTGAAATTCAGTGGTACTGTACTCATATCATTGTGAGGAATTTCCGCTATCCGTCCTTCATCACATTATGCGAACTAGGGTAAGTATAGCTCGTATTCAAGTTCTGTGGGTGATTTCGAAGGCTACTTATTTTGAAAATATTCATGTAAGTACCTCCCAACTATGGTTAGTCGAAATTTTAATAGGCTCTAAGGCTATGTGGCGCTTCCCAATGAGCGATGATTACTAGCATGACAATATTTTATGATGTATATAAGAGGACCTTTAAACTGAACTCTGTTAGAGGTAGTTTGATTATTATTAAAGAAATTTGCGCTATGAGATGCATAAAAATAAGGATATAAGGTATATATATATATATATATATATATATATATA